ATGAATTTATAATAATATAATAACAAATATAATAATAATAATAATAAAATAATAATAATAATAATAATACATTTTTATAATAATAATAATATAATAATAATAATAATAATAAATTATTATTATTATTATTAATTTACATTAGAACATTTTCTTTATATTAGTATGTATTTTTCTTCATTATTTCTTTTATTTTTTTAATTATTTTTTAATTTTTTTATTTATTTTGCCAGTAAAGTAAAATCTAATTGAAATTCTCATTAGGCTATTGTTTATAAAATGTCAGTATATCATATAGAATTTAAAATTTGTTTATTTTAATCGTTAATGATTTAAAGTCATATTTGTTTAGAACTATTGCATCAGAATTTTAGACAACATGCAAAAATGGTATTTGTATTTTTTATTTTTGTTCTTGAGCTAAATGAAATCACGTCTTCTCATAATAGTGAGTCATCACTAAATGATCTAACTTAATTAGGACAGCAATGGTGCATACAATATGCACACGGACTATCATTTTCAGCCAACCAGCATCAGCGCTTCCGGTAAACTGTCTTTTTATTATAAAATGGCCACCTTTAGGGTCTTATTTCTATAAAAAGTAGTCATCTTTACTGCTTCATAGATATTCGATATGAAGTGGGTCTCAGACCAGACATGAAGCACTTCATTAAATTCCATTTTCCCCCACCATGTCTTTATAATATGACCACAGTAATTTCAATGGAGTTCCTGCGCGCTCCTGCTGATTCTGATGGAGCTAGAGGTTACACAAGTCTTTTCATCTCATTTTACGCTTGAACAACTAAATGAATGCCTAAGTATATTTAACTGAATATATTGTAATTACATTACAACATTGATGCTGTAAAAGCAACATTGTGAAATTGAAAATAGTCACATTAAGCTTTTACCGGAAGTTTATCAATGGCTAAAAAACAGTAGCTGTGCATGTAGCCCATTATGACTGCAAAGAGCTCTTTCTTTACTCATTGTTTAGAGGCAAGGTTCTCTAATAAACTCTCACTGTTCTCTCTCATTGTATTTTCCAGCAACTTCTCTTCCTATTCAATTAGCTTTCTAAACACTAGGGGGCACTGTTTACCCACTATACTTTTTTTTCTTTTTTTTTCTTTTAATACTAGAGCCATTGCTGAAGTTGACACATTTACAAAGTGGATTATTTCCTACTAGGCCATATAAACTATTTTATTCCAGCTAATACGAGCAACTTTGTCATTTCAATTGCATGCTTTGTAACCCGAGAAGATACAGAGGCACAGATACAACAGTATAGAGCACATACTGTATGAGAAAAATAAAAGCCTGCAGTGAAATGTCTGGGAAAAAGAGCATGAAGTGAACATGTGTTGGTCGTAAAACTGCACACTGGGGAAGGCATAAGTCTCAATGAGTGTTCATTCTCAAAGGGATTATATAGCTGTCAGCTTTATCTCTGTGTGTGTGAAATGAATCAGTGTATGCATGGTTAGGAAGACTCGTACATTCTTTCGCAGCACGGATATCTTTGGCCTTGTAGTGCACTCTATATGACTCTTTTACACTTGGGTTATATCTGATTATGAAGCTGTGTACTGTTGCAGAAGCATCTGCTGTAGATCTAGTGTCACCGAGCGTGCATGTGTGTGTTGTCCCAACATCTGACGCTTGCAGCTGGGTGTTGCTGAGCTCTTTATTTAGCTTCATGGTATGTAGACTATTTGTAGGAGGGAGTGTAAAGGATCTATAAATAAAAGCAAACTCAATATTATCACATGCCTTTAATCAGGCATGTTTAATTAACTATGTTTATATTTAATAACTTTAACTGTTAAAAGCTACTAGGTAAAGTTATTAGTTACTAATAAAGTTATGGTAATAACCTTAGATAAAGTTAAAATGTTCAATTATACGAGATTTTGATTTTAGGCCAAATCGCTCAGCCCTATGTAACAGTGTATGTGACAAATAAAGGCTTTTTTCATCATCATCATCATCATCATCATCATCATCATCATCATCATCATCATCATCATCAAATAAACTTGAATTAACCAAACTAACAGAATCCATTTCACTTTCTGCTTAAATTAATAAAAACATTTGCATAACATTTTGGGTCATTCATTGGGAAAAGTTGATTTTGTCTGTTAGTGATTTCCATATTCCTCCTCCTTGGCACTGATTGGTGGTTCAGAGTTGGAGAGAAAATCGAGCCCCGCCGTTTACTTCTGTTGTTGTTGAATGCATCTGGTGGTGAGAACAGGCTCAACTTTTCCACCCTTGCCTATATGTAAGATATACAACGCCATAGTACAAAACGTTCAATTGTGGGGCTCCGCTGAGGATTCACCACACTTCACTTCATCCCACGGCCATGTGAATCCACTGAAACTTCATGTATGTAGCAAGATGAATTTGACCCAGGGGATATTATTACTCCCCTGCTAGTGTTTTCTCTGTACCAGTCTCAGTAGATTTGCTTGTTTACTTAAACATCCACTCAAAGCCAGATTTATATTGTTTGTAACCCAAAGTGACCACACTTTTTTTGTCAGTTTTGAGGTGTGTGAGTAAAAATGTACATTAGAACATTAGCATCCGTGGAATTAAGCTGTAAAATTCAGTATAAATTTTATATATATATATATATATATATATATATATATATATATATATATATATATATAAAATGTAGCAACTTAGTTTATTAATTTTTTTTTTAGGATTTCAAGATTTAATTTTCAAAAATTTGAGTACAGTAAACAAACATGAACTACTAAAATCAGCCTTAATCACCGATATTACATTTTAGCATAGTAAAAATTGTTTTAGTTGGAACTTTGGTGAAAAAATTTGAAGTTATGAGAAAAAATATACATAACCCAAAGTGACAACGTTTTTTCAGAGCTTTTTTTGGTGTGTGAGTAAAAATGTGTGTTAGAACTAGGGATGTCCAGATCCGATCACGTGATTGGAAATTGGGCCCGATCACATGGTTTCAGACTTAATCGGAATCAGACGTTACCTCCTGATCAGGACTTGAATATATATGTATATTATATATTCTCAAGTTATGCAGTAGCAGAGTTAGACTTCTTTCATGACACAGAAAAACAGCAACGTGTGCAGCATGTCATTGCAAACTGTGAGATATGTAAACTTGGGATTGCCTGCCAAATGTTTTAAGTTAAGGTGATATTTGTTTTTATATTAGATTTATTGTTATATCTACTGTTGCACTAACGTCCAGAACCAGAAGTAAAGAATTGATGTTTTTATTACTTTATTTTTCAAGCTACTTCACAGAAGTGCTCTGTTTGTTAACTAAGTTGTTGAATTTTTAAATAAAGTGGATTAAATAAAAAAAAGGACTATCCTGGATCTATTTCTTCACTCTTTTTAATTCTTTTTTATGTATTAGTATTTAAGTATCAGATCAGGTTTCGGTATCGGTAGATACTCAAAATCAAATGACTCGAACTCAAGGGCAAAAAAAACCTTGACACTCGGGTATTACATTTTAACATTTTGAAAATTGTTTTGTCCAGAACTTTGGCAAAGAAATTTGAAATTATTTCACAAAATATAACCCAGCGATTACATTTTTTTAGAGCTTTTAGGTGTGCGAGTAAAAATATGTATTGGAACATTTACATCTGCTTACTTCCCCTCATTTTTTAGATAGTTAATTCAGTAGAAATTATTTAAAGATAAATGTGACAACTTGACGTTTATTGAATTTTTCAAGATTTTGATTTATTTTTCTATCATTTACAGTACAGTTAACAAACATAAACCACTAAAATCAGCCTGAAGTACTGATTTTTACATTTTAGCATTGTGAAAATTGTACTATACTGCAAAACTTTGGCAAAGAAATTTAAAATGGTGAGACAAAAAAATATAAGCACCCACTCATATACACACATACTCTTTCACAAAACAATAAACCATCAATAATCTTCATGTTTTACTTCATTTAGGTTTTCTCTTCAAATGATTAACTGAATGTCTAGACTACACACTAAACAAAAAAAAATGTATAAAACAAAATATACTTTGTATAAAAATATAGGCAATTACAAAAATTGTAAAGCTACGATGATTTTTTTGTGTGTGTGTGTGTGTGTGAGAGCTATCCTGTGATAGTGATCGTGTGATGATGACTGTGATTCATCAGCCATTACCATTTACAGTTGAAATCAAAATTATTAACCCCCCTTTAATTTTTTTTTCTTTTTAAATTATTTCCCAAATGATGTTTAACAGAGCAAGGAAATTTTCACAGCATGTCTAATATTTTTTTCTTCTGGAGAAAAAATTATTTGCTTTATTTCAGCTAGAATAAAAGCTGGTTTTATTTTTTAAAAAACATTTTAAGGTAAAAATTATTAGCCCCTTTTAAGCTATATTTTTTCGATAGTCTACAGAACAAACCATCGTTGTACAAAACACTTGCCTAATTACCCTAACTTGCCCATATTAACCTAGTTAAGCCTTTAAATGTCACGTTAAGCTGTATAGAAGTGTCATGAAAAAGATCTAGTCAAATATTATATACTGTCATCATTGCAAAGACAAAATAAATCAGTGATTAGAAATGAATTATTAAAACTATTATGTTTAGAAATGTGTTGAAAAATATCTGCTCTCCGTTTAACAGAAGTTGGGGAAAATAATAAACAGGGGGCTAATAATTCAGGGGGTTTAATAATTCTGACTTCATCTGTAGATAGGTTTGCAAATGTGTTTCCAGAATGCATTTTAGTTGTACCTGAACAATAAGCTACCACTTAAGCATTTTACTTAATTTATAACCCAGTAAAGCATAATGCTACAAATGGCAAAGTCCTGAGTTCAATTTCCAGGGAAGCCATGATTATGTAGTTTGTTTTTTTGAGTTGCTTTAGATGAAAGCATCTGCCAAACGAATACATGTCTGAAATGCACAGAAAACCTTGGACATTAATGAATTGAGTGGCAATTGGAAAATCCTAACATATACAATTGAATATGATTGTATACGTGTTGGAGAAAGGCCATGGTTTGCTAGGTGACAAAAGGCAACTGTGTGTCCTTGATGGAGACTGTTTAAAGCAAACAATAATAAGCAAAAAATTAAGGATGACAAGTTTTCTTTTACATAAACAGTTCATCTATTAGTATTATTGTTAATTTGTGTTTGTTTGCAGCACAGCTTACAAAGTAAAAAAAAAATACATGAAGAAACCATCAATTACTCTCATTTACACCTGTTTTTAAAGGGATAGTTCACCCAAAAACAGAAAATTCTGTCATTTACTCCATCCTGCACTTGTTCTAAACTTATTTGAGTTTCTTTCCTCTGTTAAAAATGAAATGAGGTATTCTGAAGAAAGCTGGGAACCTGTAACCATTTCTAGCAGTCACACAACATCACAATGCTGTGCTAAATCGCGGTATTCGCGTGTAAATTGCCGCGTGAACATTTGAGTTTACTCGATTCATTCGCGCGTCAAACCCCGCTTCATTCGGGCGTGAAATCCGCTTCATTCGCGTGTCTAATTCACTTCAGAACAGACACGGATTCGCGTGATGGGCAGGGCTTCTGTTGGCCCGATGACTGTAGCTTCGTTGCTAAATGGCTAACAAGTATTTTATAAAGAAAATAACAGTGTTTATGTACTTCATGAAGGCTAAAAAACAGCGTCGATAAGTTTAGGACCATGTCTGAGTTCACTACATGCTTTCACAGGTGCATCCAGCTCTGTGAGCTCATAAACTCCTCCAGAAACTGAACCTGGATGACGGAGGCTTTCAGCAGTGCTTCTGACTGAGTCAAGCCCAGTTTGATGACTTGTTGTCGGTGTCGCCTGGAGGATTTCCCCCAGGACACCATCAACAGGTTCTACGTCACAATCACGCCCCCACAAGAGCAAGCTTCTGATTGGTTTACGCGGCGCGAATATCTGCTGAAGTTCAGATTTTCGAATTCGAGAGATTCGGGCGAAACGCTCGTTAAACGCTCAATTCGCCTCTAGCGTATCGCGTTATTCGCATCGCGCCATTTGCGTAATTCGCGTCATTCGCTCTGCGCCATTCACACGTATCACGCCGCAGGATGTCTATTCGCGTGTTTGCATTGACTTAACTTGTAAATCACTCGCGCTTGACATGCGTTCCGCGTCTGGTGTGAACGCAGCATAAGACATATATATTAGGTTAGATGTAGGTTGCAAAGTCAGGTGACCAAAATTCAATGTTTAATCAAAGACGTTATTTTGACATTCAATGTTAACATCAAATGATGTTGATATATGGTTGATTTTAGGTTGTGTTGGAAAGAGACCAAAACCCAACATCGAGTCAACATCTGAAAACAACGTCATATATTCAATTGCTAGGTATAGCAACCAAAATCCAACGTCTGATAGACGGCATACTGGTAACCTCCACACAAGGTCAAGCTGTTACACCATTAGATGTTTATATTTGGATGATTTTAAATTGGATGTTGGATTTTGACATCAACCCAATTTTCATTTCCAAACTAAATGCAAAGTCCCCATGGGTACAACGTCAGTATGACATCAGTGTTTGACATCTTGTGCTTGCTGGGTTGACTTCCATGGTATTTGTTTTCCTACTATGTATGTCAACGGTTACCGTTTTTCAGCTTTCGTCTGAATAGGACTAAAGCAACTCATAAAGCTTTATAATCACTTGAGGGTGAGTAAATATTAAGTAACTTTTCATTTGTGGGTGAACTATCCCTTTAAGATGCATCACTGTCAATTATAAACACAAGTGGATGAAGCTAAAATCAGATTGTACAGTAGTATGTTTTAAACTTGTCCACTTTCACTTGTCCACTTTTTTGAAAATGCTTTAGACTGGATTGCTTTCGTAGCGTGAGCACTTGTATAACCAACCTACAAAAAAAGACCTTGGAGACTGACTGAATGTGATTGTTATGGGATGTATTGTGTAAAATCGCAACAAAACTATAGACTTCATACTTCACTGCCGGAATAGATGGATTATGATTGAAATTGTTCTTTTTTTAGTCGCTTGCTTTCCTGCTGCCTTAATGTAGGTTTGTCCATTCATACGTTTGACGAAGTAAGAAGAGTCCTAACAAAACTCCAAACAAGTGTTAACACCCGAACACAAGTTAAACACCAAATAGAGGCATTGGCCTAACTGGATTTAATAACTGTTATAATCTACATTGTTCATTTTATGATATGTAATTAATTAATTGATGTTAAGAAACATCTGTGTCTCTATGTGCTACTGTATATGAAAAAGCTGTTGAGCATGCTTTTCCAGACTGAAAAGGCATACTTGAAATGTTGGCTCATCTAAATGCACAATGTGAATCCTATTCATTACTTGCAGTTTACAAATTCCTTAAAAAATGATCTATTCTTTGGCACAGAATCTATAAATTTTTGCACTGTTGGAGTCAAAACATATTTAAAATGTTTGATGTTTCTATATACTGCAATAGATGTGGAGTTATTCAGCATTTCAAGCACAACTGGAGCAGATTTGCTTCTTTTATCTCTCAGTTTTACATAAAAGAGCTACCCAGAGATCAGTCTTTCTTGTACTTTCATCATTGTTTTCCTCAGCACCATCGTCTCTGTTGCAGTTTTTACCACATCAAGTGTTGTTGTGTGTATGATAACTCTTTTTTTTGTTTGTTTATTGGTCTGATGTTGACTCTGATCCTATTACATGGGAGTATCTGCCACCTGTGTCTGGGTGGCATTGTGTCCGTTGGTGGGTGGCGAGTCTGGAGATTCTCCATTGATGATGGGCTTGTCCAGAGGTTCTTGTTGAGGCAGAGGAGCCACAGACAGCAGTGTGTTGCCTTGGTTTTCTTGGTCCACTTGGAAAGAGTCCTCAGCCTTTATGGAGACAACAGACATTAGATATACAGATGAAGTCAGAATTATTGACCTTATTCTCCGCAGACAAGCGGGCGCTGCCATTTGAATCTTTTTGGGACGAGACTTCTGGTCTCATTCACTTCCATTCATTTTTAGACATTAAAAACTGCTCGTTTCGCTGTTTGATGTTGCAAACTGATATTTCCTTGTTATATTATTCTACTTGGACTGTATAGTCATGCAAACATTTGTTTGTAGAGCAAGTAGTTTGACCGTTTTTTGCCGTTTATTATTCCTTGTCATTTCTCCCATTGGCGACTGAAACGGAAGTTCTAAGACAATCGCGAAAACAGTCGCACTTCCGCATTTTAGAATAAGGTCAATTAGCCCCCCTGTATATTTTATTCCTCATTTTCTGTTTAATCGTGAGAAGAAGATTGAAAGAACACATTTTAAAAAATTATAGTTTTAATAACTAATTTCTAATTACTGATTTCTATTATCTTTGCCATAATGACAATACATAATATTTTACTAGATATTTTTCAAGATACTAATATTCAGCTTAAAGTGACATTTAAAGGCATAACTAGGTTAGTCCGGTAAGTCAAGGCTGATTTATACTTCTGCGTCAAGAGCACGAGTATGCTCCGGCACAGCCTTCACATGGTCGCGTAGCCCTCGCTGTGGCTGACGCGCACCTCTCAAAAAATGTAACCACATGTTGCAGCGACGCATAGCGCAAGCTCTGTGATTGGTTGGCTTGGTACCAATGATGAGCGCGGGCTGTGCTGAGAGCCGGAAACCCGTTGGAGCGAGTGTTTACATGGGTCGAGTCCAGCGGCATAGCGGATTGGCTCGTCAGAACCCTCAAAACCCAAATGTTGTTTAAGGGGGCTAATATTATTGACATTAAAATGGTAAAAACTGCTTTTTCTACACTAAAAACTTGATTAGAATTTTAAATACAATCAGCTTAAGGACATTTTTGAGTTCACTCAACTTAAACCGAGTCAAGTGGAGTACTTGGGTTAAAAGTTGAGTCAACTCAAAAAGCTCTACAGCAAGTTGCTTTACAATTTTGAGTTGTCAACTTTTTTTCAGTGTAACCCAAGGAAAAAAAAAAAAAAAAAAAAAAATATATATATATATATATATATATATATATATATATATATATATATATATATATATATATAAAATAGGAAATACTGTGAAAAAAAACTCATTGCTCTGTTAAACATAAATTGGGGAATTATTTGAAAAATAAAAAATATAATAATTATGACTTCAGCTGTGCTAGCCCTTGTAAAAAAACAAAAGGTAATGTTCTTAAAGAGATATGTCACCCTAAAGTAAAAATTATGTCCTTATTTACTGTTCTTCATTCTGCTGAACACAAAAGAAAATATTTTGAAAAATGCTAGAAACCTGAAACTATTGAATATGGTTATAGTCGTCAAAATATTTTATTTTGTGTTTAAATAAATAAAGTCAAACAGGTTTGGAACAAGTAAAAAGTGTGTAAATGATGACAAAATATTAAATTTTGAGTGAACCATTCTTTTAAAGGGACAGTTCATCCAAAAGTTTATATTTACTAACTATTTACCCACCCTCAAGTGTTTTCAAAGCTTTAAGAGTTTTGAAGAAAACTATTTTCTATATGTTTAAAGCTAAAAGAATTTATTTAATATTTTGTACAATTTAATGTACATTACATTGATTTATGGTTAGTTTGATGTAATTAATGTTATAAGTATAGTAACTTGAGATGTAATGTGAAAAATGTTATACTTGATTAGGATTTAAGCTGTAGGTTGTTATTTAATATTACATTTAAAATGTATATATTTTAAATGTGGTAAATATCATTAAAAATGTAAAAATAAAATATAAATATATTTAAATATATTAAACATGGTTGAAAGCGGCACTCAATTATTTGCATGAATGCTAACTTTGTACGATTCATTCAGTTGTAGGTCAAGGTAAACTATTTATATGGAACCGTAAAACAACATGAATGTTGACCAAAGTGCTTCACTAACATAACAACAAAGTTTTAAAATTAAAAAATATATTTTTAAAAATCTGTATAATCAATGACTCAAAAAATCTGTATAATCTGTATAATCAATCAAATCAATTCACATAAAAAAAAACTAATTTATAGAGAGAAACATGTATATGTTTTGACTGATTAAATAATAATAATAAAAAAAACCTTCATGTAGATGAAGCTTGAATTTCTAGAAGTAATGCATAGTAAATAGTTGTTGTAAATAGTGTGCATTAAAGTGTCTGGAAAAAAAAAAACACTGCATTTAGTTTGCATTTCAGTATTTTAGCTTTATATTTCCATAATCTTTTTAAAAATATAGCAAAGTGCACTTTGTTTCCTCGCAGCCTCCATCTGAAACATTTGGTATTTTAGACACTGCTCAGAGATTAGTCAGCCTCGCACTCACCAGTCGCATCCCTTTTGATTTCCCTCGATGAGTCTTCAGAATGTATCCAGCAATTAGCAAAGCAGCGAGAAGCAAACCCGCTATCAGAATAGAGATCAGGACAATTTTGGAGCGTTGGCCCATGTTAGCCACTGCTTCGTCTACATTCACCTAGACACAAACAAATAAGTTTACTTTTATGAGTTGCATCTTCGTTTTTACGTGAATTAAGTGGAATTAAGTTTGTGTAAACATCATAGCGTGTGTTTATTTGATTTGCCAGCACAGCTATTCACCTCATAATGAGTTACAGCCTCACCCAAACTAAATCCTAAACTAAACCACATGGTAAAATATGCCATGTTTTTGATTCTGAGGCCTAACAGGGTGTGCATATTATTCACATAGACTGGAATCTGGGAGTAACGCTTTATTACACCACTGCTATGCAAAATCCTGATAGCAGATGTACAGGCTACATTTACTTTCCTTTATTTCATGCTTGATTTTAAGAGTAATATCATTTTGTACACTTTACGTCCTCTCTTTTTTTACACTTCATATTAATGACATGATATGGATTTCAGTGCTCACCTTATCTGTAATGTTGTCGATGTTGAACTTCCCAGCCATTCCTTTAGGATCATCTTCATGACAAGAGAGAATGACAGATTTTAGTCTGATTGATTTCTTTACAGCACTGCATGCAAGATATTTAACATGCTCCAACAAAATATTACATTGTATGGCAATTTAAAGCAGAAAGTTCTGTTTGGAGTTTAATGAATCCTTTGTAATAGCCATGACTGTCCACAAACCAACAGCAGAGAGCTTCTGTTTTACCTGTTGAGTTGATCAAAACAGCTGTGCCTAATGAATATGGTAATTAGGATACTTTATTTTATTTTTGGAACAGGACTGTTTGCAATTATATAGATCTTTGGATTTTCCCATAGACTGACAGTTTGCAAAAGGTATGAATAATTTTGGCGATAAAGATTTTAGGTCAAACAAATGGTTAAATTCACTAAAGTAAGGTCTTGTAGGTCTTAAATAAATTTAATTGCGTCTCAATTTTCCTTTGTCTGTGTAAATCTACCCAATCGGAATGTTTAACAAAAGTTACATTCAACTCAAATTAAATAATTTACATAATAATTGATAATTTACTCAATCTAGCCATATGGTTTGATTATCTTCCTTACAATAAGGTTTGTTTAAAATTCTCTATGAATTTAGCTGTCTGCTGAGGGCACTGATCTGGACACACTGTTGTGCATAAATTTAGTTTATCCTTTTTTAAACTTGTCTTTTTTTAATTATATGTAGATAACTAGAGTTTGCTTATTTTTACACTTTATTTAAATATGTGGCTAAAATAACTTAATTTGAACTATAATATGGCTGGTAAAAATCATTTCCACTGGCAGTTAGAAAAAACCCTTACCGTTTTGCTCTGTTTATGTCAGAAATTTAATTCATGATGGTCTTAAAAAGTCTTAAATTTGACTTATTTAACACAGAATCCCTGTGTTCAAATGTAAATAAAAGCTGAGAAATACATTCACTGTTGACCTTATTACAGTAGGTACACCTTATTAGTACTGAGTTGGACTCTTTTGTTCCCTCAGAGCTGCCTTGGTTTAAACTGCAGCAGATCGTCTTGACCATGTTTACATGCCAAAATCCACTGAGCTGCTGCCATGTGATTGGCTGATTAGGAATTTGCGTTAACAAGCAGGTGGACAAATGTATCTAATAAAGTGGCCGGTGAGTGTATATATATTATTTTTACCACAATAATCCCTCTTAAACATTTGACAGATAGATAGATAGATAGATAGATATAGATAGATAGATAGATAGATAGATAGATAGATAGATAGATAGATAGATAGATAGATAGATAGATAGATAGATAGATAGATAGATAGATAGATAGATAGATAGATAGATAGATAGATAGATAGATAAGAGTACAATTCAAACCTTCAATGCTGTCTCCATAAACAATGACCTCATCAGTGTTGTCTATCTGATAGATTTCAAGTTTGCAGTCTTCACCACAGAGAACGTCTAGAACATACTGTATCTTGGCTTTAGTCTCTTCCTATGGGATGAAATGGATTTTGTATTAAAAGATTTGTAATAAATGTAGGACACTTAAAAGATTTATATAAAATATGTACAGTATAGTCAAATATGTATTAAATGTTAACACAAGGAAAATAAATCGGAGGGATGCATTAAGCCTTTTCTCGTTTCCCCCTCTTGTTCTCATATTTCCGTCTTTCCTGGAATGTGGTGTAATGTGATGCCTGTATGTTCAGGTTTTCTCTCATAGCAACAGCCTCTCTTTCCCAAGAATCACAGTTCTCCAAGGAAACATTGGCGAACTGAGGAATTCAGAAATTCCAAACTATACAAATATTGTTAATAAACTATAAGAAAACAATCAAGGTGTATATATGTATTGTAAAGCTTTATAACAATGTTGTTAATATGACGCTTATATTTCAATACAATATTTCACTTACATTGTTTCTTTAGTTTGCTAAATTTCTTTCTTTCATTCATTTTTTTCTTTCTATTATTTTCTTTCTTTCTATCTTTCTTTCTATCTTTCTTTCTATCTTTCTTTCTTTCTTTCTTTCTTTCTTTCTTTCTTTCTTTCCTTCCTTTTTTCCTTCATTCCTTTTCTTCCATTTTTTCTTTCTTTCCTTCTTTTTTTCTTTTCTTTCTTCTTCTTTCATTTTTTTATTTTTTATTTCTTTCTTAATTTTCTTTCATGTCAAATTCTTTTTAAATATTTGCTGATATCTTGAAAAACCATTTTGGTTCCTCCATTTAAGCTTTCAGTGGTAGTTCTTTTAAGAAACTTTAGCATCCAAGGAACAATTCAATTCATAAAAAGGTTCCTTACAGTGGGGGGGGATGTGTTTATACTAATAAGAGTTCTTTAAAGTATGAAAAAAATAGCTTAAAGAACTTTCACAAACATGGTTCTTCTACAGCATCACAGCAAAAAACCCAGTTTTGGATCTTGATTTTAGAGTGTTTGAAAACCCCATTGAGTAAAGTTAAAGTTTTTTATGGGACCACTGATTCCAATAAATGATCTTTATTTTTTAAGATGCACACAACCTCTTGAGATGTGTTTTTTCTGTTTTGTACAGTAGTAGATACACTTGTACTAAATACTTCATTCTTCATACTCTTTACTGGCTCTGAAACTGAACCTAGAGGCCCGTGTGTGTGTTTTGGCAGAGTTCCTGGTGTGGATTGTGAACTGCCGCCGCCCATAGTGTGTAATGGAATGCCATTGATGTGCAGCCACAAGAGTCCGCCTCCGTGACTGGTCCACCCAACCAAACCTTAGCACAAACACATGAGCCTCTCTATAGGCCAGATTATAAAAAGACTTCAGTATCTTATATCAGAACTGGCAAAAAGAAGACAAATCTGATAGTCTGTCTATTGTTTGTCTTGTGTTTTATTCTTCATTATGCTGATCGTTTTTCATTGTTGGTTTTCTGAAAGCTAATGTTGGCTTTTCTGAAATATTGCTGTAATTAATAGAAAATATGATTAATCTGTGCGTAGCATTATTTTAAAATTTTTAATTCATTGTAGTCATTAATTAAAATAGCTTCTCTTTCCCCTTCAATGTCATCTCTATTCTTATGACAAACATATGAGATCGACCAATAGCAAACCACATTGATTTAGTCCTAATAGACAGTGCACTCAAATTCATAATTCTTTATCCTTCATAACAAACTGAAATATTGTTACTGTGTTTGATATTATTATCATTGTTAATATTTATCAAATTTTATTATGTTTTTTAATTTTCAATAATCTATATTGTATAAGTGTAATTATGCAATATTTTTATCATACTGATGCAACAAATACTGCTGAAAAAGTAAAAGTGAATTTTAAAAATAAAATTATTTTACTTGATTATAAATTAGTATATAAACATGATTAAAAGTATAGGGCAAAACACATTTGATGCTTTATTTTATATCAAATAAGGTAAGCTTTGTTAAGAATAAGAGATTTAGATATTAAATATTAAAAGTAAAATGGCATGTTAAAAATATATTACTGGCCCAAAACTGCCAGTATGCAAATTTTTTATTGATTATATTTTATAAAAAAATTCACAATTTGGTTATATATTTACAGAGCGACATGGTGGCGCAGTGGGTAGCACAATCGCCTCACAGCAAGAAGGTTGCCTGGCTGGGTCAGTTGGCATTTCTGTGTGGAGTTTGTATGTTCTCCCCATGTTGACGTGGGTTTCCTCCGGTTGCTCCGGTTTCCCCCACAGTCCAAAGACATGCACTATAAGTGAATTGAATGAACTAAATTGGAAAGTGTATAGTGTTTGTTTTGTTTTTTTCTTTTTTAAATATTTCCCAAATAATGTTTAACAGAGCAAGGAAATTTCCACAGTATGTAATAATATTGTTACTTCTGAAGAAAGTCTTATTTGTTTTATTTCGGTTAGAATAAAAGCAGTTTTTAATTATTTATGAAACATTTTAAGGACAAAATTATTAGCCTCTTTAAGCAAATTTTTTTTCTGACTGTCTTCAGAACAAACCACTGTTATACAATAACTTGTCTAATTACCTCAACCTGCCTAATTAACATAATTAACCTAGTTAAGCCTTTAAATGTCAATTTAAGCTGTATAGAAGTGTCTTAAAATATCTAGTCAAATATTATTTGCTGTCATTATGGCAAATATAAAATAGATTAGAAATGAGTTATAAAAACTTTTATGTTTAGAAATGTGTTTAAAAAATTAATCTCTCCGTTAAACAGAAATTGGGGACAAGAATAAACGGGGGCTAAAAATTTAAGGGGCTAATAATTCTGACTTTAACTGTGTATATATGCGTATATGTTTTCATACATTTTATTTTCATATAGAGTGAAATATTATGTTGACATTCTAATCTCATTCCTGAGAATAATTTATAATCTACATACATTTAGATTTTGCACTACCATTTAACTACAGATTTCATTTATGTTTTTGTCAACCAGGGCACAAATATACTTGCAACCAACTTTCTAATTGACTGAAGTCTCTGTGAACTACAGGTCTACATTGCTGTATAAATCAGAAAACTTGCACATTTACATCTACATTCTTAATTTTTTGCCTTTTTAAACTATAGCCAATGCTGAAACACCCCCCCCCCCAATTATCACGGAATAAAACACTTACACATGTGGAGGAGGCCTTTAGTTTCAGCAGCACATCATGTTTGTATTGCTCTGGTTTTTTATCCACACAGACCACATTGCTCTGCAAAATAAATGACAGAATAAGACAGAAAGAGTTCTCAACCTAAAATATGAAGTATGCTTTCTTATAAACTGTACATTGAGGTCAGTGTCTGAAGTTGTATACCTTTGAAGTGACACTGTGTTTTTCAGGCTGGACTGTGTTGCTGGTTTTGGTACGTTGAGTTGAGTGAGCCTCACTGCTGCCATTTACTGCGGGTGTTGAATCGTTTATGAACGTGGGAAAAATGATAATCTGCATCTGAGAGGTATCTTCACGAAAATGAAAAAAATATACTTGTTAAAAAAGGGAGAGCTAGTTATTCTCAAAGATAGACTTCCTCAAAATGACTTTAATTATTGACAGGTTGAAATTACTTTGTGTAAATTATATTAAAACTGAAATTAAATCGCAAACATTTTAAGGAATGAAACTGCAAGTTTACGGAGCGAGATGTGCAAGCTGCAAGTACATCATTAAATAAAATGTAATGTAAAACTAAAGCAAAAAATAAATTACTAAATAAAAATATTCATTTTGTCCACATTTGTAAGTGGGACTGCCAAATGATTAAATGTTAATGTAACATGGATTATATTTAATTTATTCAAACTACATGAACTGTATTGCCATTTAAAACATCATCTTCATTTAAAAAAATACCTAGTCCATTTTCTGACTTGTTTGGTAGATAATAATGTTGTATACATTCATTATATTAATAAGGCATAATAATGAAAGTCAAATAAAAGGCTAAAAGTTCAAATTAATATCTTTAAATACAAAGCATGCTCAGATGGGTATTATAGCACCTTAATTCATCAATACATTTTTATTTTATTAACCAGGTGTTTATTACCTTTAGGTGTCGTAATAAGTAGATCACCATCCCCACGCACAGCTCTTTCTTCACAAATCACACCTGTAACAAAGGGTAAACCATTTTTCAATATAATGTGACTTTCCTGTCCAAATTTTCAACATGTTATATTCCCACATTTTAATATTATCTCAAACCTATACTTTCTGCTTAAGAATAAAAACAAATAAACTTAAATCTGTGCTCCAAAGCATTTATGGCCGCATTTACTCTGCACTGTTCAAGTGACTCAATTTCGATTTAAAAAAAAAAAAAATTTTCCCCATGCGGCACAGATCGGATATGGCCCATGTACGTGCAAGCATGAAAAAATCACATGGATTCCGATTTAATCAAATAAGATTCAGGCCTTGTTCATATGTGGAAATTTATCCGATATGAATCGGATCTGTGTTCTTGTGTCTGCAGTGTAAGCAGGTAGATCGGATTTTCATCTGTCATCTGTCTATGAGTAGCGCGTCATTAACAACCGTGGCGAATTACCTCAAGTCAAAACTTTTTTCAGAACAAACTTTAGCAGAGTCCCAAACCTTAAATCTCATACACGAGGACTTAAACAGCTTTTATGTTGTCATATAGCACAGGTATTTAAGCATGTTAACGAGAGAGAGAGAGAGAGAGAGAGCGCAATGTCCGCCATGTAACCAATATAAACTAATATAAAACTAGTGCATACATCATGTGCATAAATCACACCATGGACATTACATTAAGATGCCTAAAGGTTTAAAAAAGACTATATATCAAAAGAAGGACAAATGAGAACCTTTCTGTCGTAAACTATAGTAAAACAGCTTGTCAAAAGCTGCAAACAAATTACATACAGGAATATAGAAAATAGCACTCTTTAATTATCAGCTGTTAGTCAGCGCCCGCTCTTTTTTCCCCTGGTCATTGCACCTTTGCTGTGTGCTGTGTAAATGCAGACAATCGAATACGAGTCACTTTAAAAAGATGATGTAAGCAGGTCATCAAAAAAAACGGATACAGTCACAAAAGCTTGTTGACCATCAAGATCTGCAGTGTAAATGCAGCCTAAGAGTCACCACTATCTAAGTTGTAAGTGTAATTTTAATTGTATTACAACTACTGCATGAATGTGATTTAGTACCATAGCATTGTAAAAAAAAAGATCAACACTGATTACTAAAGCACAACTAAGGCTCATTAGGATTAATAACCTGGACTATAAACACAGCACACACACTCCTTTGCTGAGTCTTGAACTGTGAGCACTTCTAAGCGTTTCCTTGACCTGATTTCTGTGGTTTTTGACCTTTGCTTTGTTTATTGTTTTATGTTGTTTTGCCAACTGTCCTAACCATTCGCCTGTTGTTCTGACCATTCTTTGGATTACAAATATCAATGGTCTCAAATACAATTCCTGGAGGGCCGCAGCTCAGCACAGTTTAGCTTTTACCACCTCCAACTCATACCTGCTTAATAGTCTATAGTAGTCTTGTTTAGTTGGATCAGCTGTGTTTGATTAGGGTTGGACCACAACTGTGCAGACCTGCGGCCCTCCAGGAGCAAAAATTGAGACCTATCATCTATATGCTCCAGTTTGCTGCTGTTTTGACCATTGCCTGCTTAACTATTCTGTTTAATAAAGCAGCACGGAGCTCACCTTCATGGCCAACCACATCTATTGCAGTTATATTACATTTGTTACTTTATTATATTCATCAAATACATTAAGCTTTGGTGAGAATAGATCAAACAATAGAGCACAATAAAACAAATCTTGCAGGGCAAAACGAGCAGCACGTATTGTACCTCACACCTACAACAACTTAACATCATATTAACTTTTAGAAACATTTAATCCAGAAAGACATTTTGTTTGATATTAACAGTGTTGGGTAAGTTAATTTAAGTAAGTAATAGATTACAAATTACTGACTACTACTGAAAAAATTGTTACCTGATTACATTATAGATTACTAATTACTTTACTTCGAAGTTTCTTTCAAAACATATAAAATAAACCTATAAAAATACAAAATAGACTGCAGCTCTTTCAGTAATTTAATATTTACTGAAAAACATTACAATGGGTTTAACACAGCAGCTTGACATATTCAAAAGACTTAAGTTCACCCAAAATTAAAAAATTCTCTCATCATCCACGTTTTTTTTTTTGTACTGAAAAGAAGACACAAAGAAAACTGGATACTTGTAGTAATTCACATCCATATTATCAAAAAGCAGTGCAGTGTTTGGGTATTCTGTGTCTTTCTGAGGCAATTAGTCTACTGAAATGTGTATATTGCATACAAAGTATGAAGCTGATCGATCAGTTCTTGTCGCATGACTTGCGTTTTTCAATTGGTGCGCCTGGAAAGTGTGAGTGTGCGAAATATGTGCTCTATTCAGAATAACGAACTTGCGCATGCAAAAGATGCGGTTATATGAATGGACCCATAAGCAGCTACACTTCATTCAGGATACCCATTCACTCCCGATCCTGCACAAAAATCCAATTTAGTCTGTTTAAGCTGAGTTGGGCCGATGTGATTTTGGGCGCTGGTGTCCTCCCTGGTGACAAGTGTTGACGAAATGCTTTCTGTTCAAGTGCTTGAACAAGTTGCAGTCGAAAGTTTTTTAAAGACTGGACATAGACTATTTCACAGCAACATTTTTGTTTTTACGCTCAATGAAATCAAAGTACTGTCTGTATTTCCACTTGAAGAAGCAACCACACTCGTCAGCAGCTATTTCTGCATTCTCTCCCGCATTTTAAGTACATACTTATTACTTGACATTGCAGCGTAAGACCTGATTTAAAAAAAAAAAAAATTTAAAAACTATTATTTGTAATGCAAGTAATACAATTACATTGATTTTAGTAATTATAATGAAATTACACAAATTTAAAAAGTAATTTGTTACATTACTACCTTCCTCAAAAATGTAAGTAGATTACAGTATTGTCGATTGCATTACACCTAACACTGGGTATTAATGTTAGGTAATATTGTTAATTATTTATTTAGTTAATATCATTCAGCTGTAAAACATACATGCTGTAAATCATAAATTTAAATATTGTCACAATAATCTGGCATCGGCTCCATAGATTTAAAACCCCACAATCATCTGAGGGAAATTACTGTACTCTAGTTGCTTTCTACCTTTATCGCCAACAAGCATTGTATGATTTAAAAAGATACTTGTGATAAAAGCTGACACACTGATGGTGCATCTGAAATCGCATACTTTTAATATCAGAAAACAGTATGTGAGATGAGTAGCATGTTCAAATTCTTAGTATCGGAAAAACAAGAGAGATTTGGAAATGTGCAATCAGAGTATTTTTTTTTATAGGGATGAAGAATATATTGTTTGAGCATCGCAACGTATGTATCTCCAATAGTCACATAAAAGGATTAGATAATTTATTAAATATTAAAATGTAAAGACATTGATTTATAATATTGTATATTATGTGTTATTTCAAGTTTTAATGTTACAATGTTCTATGTGAATACTCTCATGCAGCGTTCACACCAGATGCGGAAGAAGCGTCAAGTACAAGTGATTTACATGTTAAGTCCATGCAAAGGCGCGAATGGACATCCTGCGGTGGGAGTGAGGCGGCGCGAATGACATGATTCACATGAATGAAGTGGTGGGAGTTTTGTGCGATTGACGTGCGAATGACACTAGTTGGAAAAATCTGAACTTCAATAGACATTCTCGCCACATTAACCAATCAGGAGCTTTCTCTTGTAGGGGAGTGCTTATGTAGCAGTGCCTGTTGTTGGTGTTCCAGGGGGAAATCCTCCTGCCGACACCAACAACAGTTGATCAAACTGAGCTCGGCTCAGTCGAAAGCTTCCATCATACAGGTTAAGTTTCAGGAGGAGTTTATGAGCTCACAAAGCTGGGTGCACCTCTGAAAGGATCTAGTGCACTCAGACACGGCTTGACTCTGTTTTTAAGCCTTCATAAATCACATAAACACAGTTATTCCCTCAATAAAATCTCAAAAAGTAGTATGTGATTTTAGATGCATAATGAATGATCTGTTTGAGTAAAATGGGTCTTATTACCGTGAACACAGGACAGCATTAGTCACCCTCTGTCTTGTTTGCGAAGTCATCATTGCCTTTCCCATACTAATCTTAATAAACTAGTCTACATATGGCGCGTGATAGTCTTGGTTGAAAAACCGCACACTGCAGCACGCAATGACGAAAAATAGATTGAATGTATCAAAAAGGCGCTCAAATTAATCGTGCCAACAAACACATTAAAACGAAAGCAACGAGCCCGATTTTAAAATGTAAGGAGTAGAAAGTACAGATATTTGTGGAAAAATGTAGGAAATAAAATTGACAAGTTGTCAAATAAATTAATAGTGGAGTAAAGAACTGATACCAGAAAAATCTACTTAAGTACAGTAATTAAGTTTTTGTACTTCGTGACTTCCCATCTCTGCTGATTTACTGTATATCCAAATCCCATTAATATTACTCTCATTCATATAATATAGAAGATACTTTTCTAATGGTCATGATGTATTGGATGCAGTTTGAGTCTGGCTGGAAAACCTCTTTTGAAATATTACTTAAGTTTCTAGTCCTGGTTTAACTGGAGAGCTGAGTGGCAAAGTATCTGACTGTGTTTAATTGACCGTGCCCAAGCTAATTCAACTGAGTGGCATATGTTTATAAAAGTTCACATTCGCTGAGGTATGTTTAGCATTTTCTTGGCATTCTTAACTCTGTTTTTAAGTCATTTAAGTTGCATAATGTTTTACAGCGCCAGAGGAATGAACACTGACCTAATTCCCAGTTTTGGCACTGAGCGGCTCTGCCAAGAGCTGGACTGCAATGAATCAGTAAGCTAAATATCCTGGGTGTAATTAATGGACCGACTGAGCATGAATACATCAGGACAGACTGAGCTAATAAAACCTTAACCCCGGCCCTCCCCCAGTGCCTACAGAAGGTCATAACCTCTGACCCCTACCCTGAACACTGACCAACACACAATCTGCTGGACACTACAGAGAGCGAGACGGTCAGAGACTAGAA